GCCCTCCGCGCGCGCCGTCCCGTTCCCTGGGCTTCGCAGAGTCCCTTCTGCGGCCGCACTGCCCGCTCGTCTTTCGGACGCCGGCCGATGTCTCGGGAGCCCTCCTGCCCACTCTCCTCTGTCTCTCTCCCCGTTTCTGCCGCAGGTCGCTCGGGACCAGCGGATGAGGGCGAGCCCTTGGTGACTGCGGGCCGGAGGGACTCCGCGGTCATCGGAGGTAACGGGGCCGCGAGTGACCTCGCCCTTGCGTCGCGGGCCCTATGAGCAAAATCCCCCCCAAGTGTGTCCGTGAGAATCCGTGCTGATTGTGAGGCCGGTGGCAGGCCACATGCGTTTGCTCATGTTCTTGGTGTAATTTGACCGAATTCAGCTCCTTTGGAGGTGCTTGGGCGAAGGAACGGATGGTTCCGCTGAAACGCTGTTTAAAGGATGGTTGCCAAGCCGTAGCATATTAAGACGCGTTTCATTTGAAAATAACCATTAGTGTTTCTCAGGATTATATACCTAAGGTGACTTACTTTTACTTCTTCGATTAAAAATAGCCCAGAACACTTAAAAATAAGAGGAAAAACAAAACATATTGAGAGAAGCACCTGAGCTACACAAATTGACATTTTCCTAAACATGGTAAATAAAACAGCAAAACTGTTGCTGGTATCAAGCTGATCTTCAGATATATATAAATATATATATTTTTTCATTAAGTAAATCCATCCATATAACCGTACATACATATAAAGAAGAAAACATAACGGGACATTAAATACCTTCCAAAAATTCTCTGAAACAAGATTTATCCAGGTCTGACCCAAAAAATTAATTTTCATTTCTCCTTCCTATCATTTTAATTTGCTTAATTAGATTATTGAAATGTGAGTCAGTCGTAAACTCTGCTTGATGAGAAGTAACGTGCTCTCCGTTCCTTGCTACCCCAAAATGAGGTAATTACTCTTAGAGGTGGGTGACAGGACTGGGTGTCCGCTGTTCAGGCCCGCTGTGCACCTGCTCAGATTGAATCTGAGCGTTTTGCCTGCATGCATCCAGGCACCAGTTTTCTCCAGACAATTAGGGAAGTATTCAGACATTATAAACTGCTGCCCAAATCTGTATAAAAATGTCAACATTTCCGTTTCTGTCTCAGCCACTTTTATCTTTGTAATGAGTGAGGAATACGACCTCCACTTTACAACTCCAGGAGCAAATAAAGACCATGAATGTTATTTATAATGCTTATCTAAAAGGAGTAACTTTTGTGTTAGAATTTAAATTAAATCTTTATCCTAAATCAGGCAACTTTGCTTTTAATGGGCAAACTTCACTATCATGCCAAAACCAAGTGAAAATAAATCAACTTCAGTGTGATTAATAGTTACAAAGTACGAATCCAAGTTCAGAATTTTGCCAAATAGCATAGTGGGTGCCCTTTTATTACAGAGAGCAAAGACAGTAGTCAGACTGATGATGGACCAAACGTGGTCTTTGGAGTTTTATTGCTTTTGCTGAATATTATTGGGAAGATGTACAAAGTAAGTGGCTCCAGTGTCTTTCCCCTGAGAAATCCTACTTGGACACGTGGTATGGAGAATGAGAACACAGAAGGGCTTAGGGACAGAATGACTCAGTTTCCTGGGCCCTACAATCCCCTTTTCCCTGCCTGCCTTCTGTGTGGTGGCTGGTTGCTGTGTGCTAGTGTATTGTTCCAGAGAGAGTGATCAGACTTTTCTAATTGATCACAGACTGCACCCACTTGTAAAATGTTGGATCTATTTAAAGAATTATTCCAATAGGTGGATTTCTCCATGTTCTGCATTTTGCATTGTTACTTTCTCCTCTTGCGGACAAAGGGAGCATTATAGGAAAGCAGAATTAACCTAAGAAATACTCAAGCCTGGTAAACTAGAGATCACAAAGGGTTTCTTGCCAAGGGATGCGTATTGTAGACGGGCAGCTGGATGGATGGAGAAACAGACAGATGTGTGGACAGACAGAGACACAGGCAGACATGAGCCCTTGTCAAAATCATAGTGCCTTGGAGTTGCTGATAGGAAGGTTATGGAAGGCATCAGATGCACAATTTAAATCATCTCAATCTCTTTCAGAGAGGGGGTGAAAACAGAAGTTATTCTAGGATCCCACCAAACCTCTCAAAACAGACAAACAGCCTAGAGTGAAAGGTGATCAGTCACATACAGAAAATCCTGGCTGCGTGGGTGGGTCTGTGTCATGGTGACAGTCACTGTGTAATCAAGTGGCCTGATCACTGTTACTGAGAGCTACTCGCTCCTGACACTAAAATTGGATATGATATCGCTCTTAAGGCAAAGTCCTATAACTAAAACATAAAAATTATTTCTATAATGGGGCTACACACTCTATACTTTTAAAATAATAAAAACCTGCTTGCTCATTAGCGTGGAGTGTGAGCATGACCCCAGAAGCCCTGTGGTGTCTCCACGTTTAATCGTGAAGGCATTAACTGAAATCCAGCGATGATAAGTCTTTAGGATTAAGGCATAAAACTGCGGGGTCTAAAGTCTGCACGGATTGAGAAGTAAGCTAAATGTTAATCATCCCACTTGGTTTCAAATTTCCTGATGATAAACAATGCGAGGGAAGACGGCAGTTCCGCTGACATTTACCGCTTATAATCTGACTTTGTATTTCCCTTTCTCTCTAGGTGTGATAGCCGTTGTGATATTTATCTTGCTCTGCATCACTGCCATCGCTATCCGCGTTTATCAACAGAGGTGGCTATACCAAAAAAACGAATCCAATATTCCCCAAAATGGGGACAATGCTGAGACTGCCCTGAAAAGTGAGCTCAACATGCAAAGTGCAGCCAGCGAAAGCCAGAAAGAGTATTTCTTCTGATCAGCCGTGACTTACTTATTACTATGATGATGTGACTTTCTTGTTAAGCCAGGGGCTCCTGGTGGAGGAAACCCTCCTCTCGTCCTCCTGGGGTGGGCGCTGGGCGGGCAGCTCCATCGGTTTGCTCACACGTGGTCCCTGGAGGCTCTGCTCAGTGCTCCTTCTTGATCTATTTATTAGCAGTGACTTAGGTGTGCTTGTTAATCACCGCTTGTCAGTTTCTGGCTGTTCTGACCTGATCTTCTAAAACTGAAATGTATTTTGCATAATTACTTTGGGTTCTAAGTGGGAACAAGGATTTGAGCTGTGGCCCTGCTCTCTTAAAAATCCAACACGGAAGTTTATAAAAGTCAAATTTGGCCTCTCATGTTTTGCGTTACATGGAAACCTAACCTTCCTTAATCGATCACCTGCTGACATTGATCAACCAGGAAGTGCTTCTCAAATGGTCTTCAGCTGCATTTCCATATTCCTGTGAACCAGAGCCCAGTGGCCAAGAATGCATTAGAAACCTGGAAAAGAAAAGAAAAGAAACATTTTGGGGGCTGATTGGTTTTACTATATGTCTCTTTTAAATCAGCTTTGATACATTTTAGTGATGAAACGAGTGTTGAATGTCAGATATGAAGAAATTACATAAAGTCCAGCTATGAAACAGAAAATTTGCAGGTAGAGAAACATAAAGGATTTCAGTGTGTGATAATATGCTTATTTATGTTCTTTGTAATTGGTCAGGATACTCTTTGTAAACTATAATAATGATCACCTAATGATCTCACAGAAATGAATATTTTCTAACTAAATCTGTACCCATATATAAATTCCATATTTATTGTTGGAAATATATCCTGCATCCACATCTGAATGAAATGTAATCTGAAATTTATTTCCTTTATATATAGGGTGATTTTTCTTTGTAGTCTTGTGGGGGTTTTTTTCCTGAAAGTTGTAACAGCTCTTTCATTTCCTGTTACTGTCTGTTCATTAGGGAAAAAGTCACATTTTTTTTTAATTTAAAAAAGATTTTAATTGAAATACAGTCAATTACAATGTGTCAATTTCTGGTGTACAACACAGTGTTCCAGTGTTGCATATACATACATATATTCATTTTCATATTTTTTGACATTTTGAACTAAATCTCTCTGTTTCCCTTTCTACATTTTGAGCCGATCTAGGCAAGACATCCCCTGAGTTACCCTCTCACCTAATTACCACTAGGAATACCAGTGGAAGAATGCTTATGCTAAAGGAAGATGCAGGTTATATAATCTGAACAAAATCTGTCATTCCAGTGAAGATTCTGGGATCTTGAGATCTGTTTCCAACAGAGCACCCAAAATCAACTAGTTCATTTTAAGTAGGGTATATTCTAGGAGAGTGAAAAAAAAAATCCTGTTAACTATGGGAATTGATCCAGTAACTACTTTTGTGGCAGTGTCTTTAGATGATTGCATGGAGTCACCATTTGCACTGAAAAGCCGGTTGTAATAAAAATGGGCTGCCCGCTCCGTACCGCACCTGCCCTGTGCCTGCCAGGTACTTACTCTGACCACAGGGAAGGAGGCCACGTGACCGTGGAGGCTGAGACTGGAGTGGGGCAGCTACAAGCTGAGGAACACCAAGGACGGCTGGCCACCGCCAGAAGCCAAGAGGAAATAATGGAACAGATTTTCCCCTCAAAGCTTCCAGAAAGAACCAATCCTGTTGACACCTTGATTTTGGATTTCTGGTCTCCTAAAGTATAAAAGAATACATTTCTTTTTTTTTTTAAGCCAAAAAAAAGAAATTGGAACTGTATGTGCTTAGCCTTGCTATGACCTTTGAGTGTGTACCAACCTTTCTGTGTTCTTTTTTAAAGAGTGGGAAAAGATGTCCTCTATATTGCCTTTTCTTAAAAATTTTTTTCTAGTGCTTTTGTGTTAGTGTTTACAAAGTGTAACAGACCACCACAAATTTAGTGACTTCGTGCAACCTATACTTACTATCCCCCACTTTCTGCGGTCAGGAGCTGGGCAGGGGTTCACTGAGACGTCTGCAAGGCTGCAGTCAGGTGTCTGTCCGGGCTGTGTTCTCATCTGGAAGCTCAGCCGGGGACGGCTTTACCTCCTTGCTCCCATGATCACTAACAGCCTTCCATTCCTTCCTGCTGGAGGGCTTATGGAAGCTTAGTTCTTCAAGGCTAACAAGGGACAGGGGGGCTCCAGAGCAAGTCTGCTAGCAATAGGGAGTCTACAGAGTGGAATGTGATCACAGGGGTGGCGTCCCATCACATTTGCCATATTCTGTCGGTCAGAAGCACGTCACAGGTCCCACCCATACTGAGGGGGAAGGATTATATGACTTGAGTCAGCAGTCTGGGATCATGGGGACCACTTTGAAGCCCATATGTCATAGTACTATATCCGCACTGACGTTTCTTTAAATGAATGATGAAAGAAGTCTGGGATCTCAGTACAGCAATATGTGGAGGGCCAGTCCTTGTCAATGGTGTATGTAATTTTTTTCCCAAGGGTCTATGTAGTTGGGGAAGGATTCAACACAAAAATGATAGGCTCCATTAAATGCATAGCTGTATGTAAACATCATTACATCACTGCAAGGCTAATCAGTGGTCATCTTCTGTTTCAAAAGAATGCATCACTTTGATAGCTAAAATTTTAGATTTATAGAAAGTGAAATCCACTGCACTCTGCAGTGGATTTTTTTTTTTTTTGCCAGCATTTTATTTTATTTGAGTTTTTTTTTCCTGTTTGTTTTTGGTGTGTGTAGGGGGAGGTAATTAGATTTATTCTTTTTTTTTTTTTTCAGAGGAGGTACTGGAGATTGAACCCAGGACCTTGTGCATGCTAAGCATGCGCTCTCCTGCTTGAGCTGTACCCTCCCCCCTGCTCTCTTTTCTAAGGAGAAAACTTTAAAGTGTTTTTACCAAAACTTCAGTGATGCATTACCAACTTCCCCTGATGGACTTGTAAATGTTTGCTGCTTATTTGTGAATAAAATAACATTTTTGAATTAAATTAGGAAAATATTTTTAAGAGAAGTTGAATGACATTTGAATTATGGAATTATATTGTTTTTCCCCTAAAATATTAAAAACCGTGCAAAAGTATGCATTCTGTGATGCTCTGTGTATTACTTTATCTCTGCAGTAAACTATAGGCAACACTAAGACCTATTAATATTATTCATGATGGTATTTAAATTATCACACAAAAAAATGAAACACAAAGTAATTGATATTTACTGATTACTACAAGTTAAAAATACCTATTAATGTAAGTATTTTTTTAAGCTTTGCCAGAGGACAATAATTTAACAATCAGCGAGTTATTTGTTAAATATTTACTATATACTCAAATGTGGTTCAACATGCCTTTCCTCAGAGTCGGGTTTCTAAAGCACTGATTAAATATACTGATTCCAGCTGCAAATAGCATCCTTCCATGAAACAAAAGTTCAAAGGTAATAATCCCTCAGGTGTCACTTTCAAAATAGAAACGGGAAATAAGCATGTCATTAACACTCATCCTTGGGACTCGGACTCGGGAATTCCCGTTCGCTTCACTGTGAGGTGACGCCCTCTCCCCCCTCCCCCCCAGTAGTATTTAGCAAGGTAGCAAAACAGATTAGGGCGTTTCTGTTCTGCTTGTCTGGAATAACCACTACTTCTGAAATGTTTTTCACTTTCTTTTGCATAGAACATTTGACAGATAACTGGTTTCAATGGATTTTTTTAAAAAATGAAATAGGAAGTTCACGGTTCTTGGCTTGAAAGATGACAAGTATGAGTGAGGCGCTCTTTATCTAGTATAAATGAGATCTGATGATGCAATCGGATGATCAAATTATTCTTTAGACACAGGGGATGAAATGGACATACGTTAAATAAAAACATTAATTGGGTTGCTCTATCTACTGTTTTGCAATCCACGTACTAAAATGTTTAAGGACTCCCACGGTGACTTCAATAGAGCCTGGCTGCCTCTTTCCCTTTTTCCAAGTCTGGCTCATGGCGTGTGGCCACATGGAAGAAAGAATGAAGAAAAAAATGACAGATGAGAAATGGTTTGCAAGCAGAGCAGTTGGGGAGATGGATTTAGTGTGTATGAGTACCCACAGGTGCACCGGAGCCCATCAACACACCTACGTGTTGAGGGACATTCATAGATTTGGTGCAAATGGAAAATAACTTACTTCAGCTGAATAAAAATAGGATTAATGATAGATCCTTGGGTTATCTAAACCCCCGTATGGCTATTACCACTTTTTGGGGGGATGGAAGTATTCATAAACACTGGTTTAGGAAATTCAAGTTCAGAGAAAGAATTAAGTTTTTATAAAAAACAATTCTTATTCTCAGAGTCATAGAGGCGGTCTATTGGCAGGAGCATCCAATATTCTGTGGTCTAATCCTTTCATCTTCCTTCCCAAGACTTCTAAACAAGTCTGAGATGCTTCTACACTGTTTATTAGTAGTTTGATCAGGTTACCTGAACCTTGTTTTTCTATACAAGTTCTCACGGGTGCAGCTCTTGCTAACATTACTGTTTAAAATTTGATCAGAACATCAGTCACTCATAGGTCATGTAACTTCAATACAATTATAGTTGGTGTTATAGGAAGATGGGTATGTGTCGCTGAGATGTGTGGCAGGATTTATGGTCCATTAATCACATTGCTGGGAAAAGCTGAAGTGCTACTTTCTATGAAACCTCTGTTTCAAAATGACTAGTCATCCATACGTTTGCCGTCCTTTAATTATGACTGAAAAATGAAATGTATTCACTTCATTGTATTATTATTTATGTTAAAAGGAGGAGATGCTGGATTCAGAGTTTATCCCTTGCTTGGTAAATGCAAAGTTTCCTATCTCAGGTCTAAACTTGCCTTTAGATTTGAAAAATGAAATTCTAGAACCTACCAGCATTTATGGAATTTCTTAAGACAGAACATCTGTAACTAAACATAAGATGTTGCATCACTGATCGCTGACTTCAATTCTTAAAACAAACCAATGAGGTAAGATATATATATAATTAGCCCATTCTTTAGAGATCAGACAGCTGCCACACAACTGACACAGGACAATGTGGGGCGAGAGGGTGGCTGTGTGGCAGGTCTCGGTGGAGCCCCTGGGACGTGCACCGCCAAGTGTGGGTCCTCGGCTTCACGCAGGAAAGAATTCAAGAGCCACAGTTGAGGAAAGGTAGATTAATCTGGAGGGACACATACTCCATAGACAGAGTGCAGGCTGTCTCAGAAGGCAAGAGAACGACCACGAGGTGTTGGGGCGTGGGTGTTCGGCTTAAAGTAAAAGTAGATGCATTCCTCGCAGACAGAGCGCAGCCAGTCTCACTCAGAAGGGAAAGCAGCCACGAGGTGCGGGGTTGTCAGTCTTTATGGGCTCGGTAACTTCATGTGCTAACGAGTGGGAGGGTTATTCCAACTACTTTGGGAAGGGACTGGGATGCCCAGGGACTGGGCCATCCCCCGCTTTTTGACCTTTTACGATCAGCCTTCTAACTGTCAGGGCACCTGTGGCAGCGCCATTTAGCCTGCTGTTATATTACAGTGAGGATATGCTGAAGCTCAAGGTCTACTGGGAGTTGAACCTTCCACCACCTTGGTCCTAACTGCTGTGTCATTCTTTCAATGGCTGTGCCCTGCCCCCTTCCCTCCTGTCTCACGAAGGCCTTTATTCCTTAGATAAGTGTCACACGCATAATTAATTACTGTCAGACACAGGGGAACACGGGTCCTGACACTTCTAACAGTTGACATGCTCTCATTTTCTGAAGCAAGTAAATACAATCCATGGATACATTTCTTTATAGGTTTCGATCTTTTAAGATATAATTTAAATGTTTAAAAAATATGGAATTCAATGGTTCTGCCTAGGAACACGCTCACACCACGTATACACACACACACACACACACACACACACACACACACACACACACAGCTTTCTACCTACTGGTAAAGCCAGATTTATGCTTTGGATGTTTCCTAGAATGTGTAGTGTCTATAAGGAAGCACTCATAGGAGAGCAGTTCGCCGAGTCCCCGCTCTGCTGTTGATGGATCGTGCTTTCCAGCGTGCTTCCCAGTTGGACCGGGTCAGTGGTCCTCCCGCAACGCTCCCACAGGCTGCTCTGGTCTCTGACAGTTTGTGATCTTGACAGGAGTGCTCTGCCACCAACGCTGTAAATGATGGTGTTTTCCCCAATTATTAGGAAAAACACATTTCCTCCGTTAGGTTTAATTTTCTTATACTTTTGGTACCCATTATTTAATATCAGCTGGCATCTAACCTGGCACAAATTATATATTAGAGTTACTCCAGGTTTACTCCATCAATGGTTCGTGTACTTTTCAAAGAATGTTTTTAGAATTGAGCAGGGCCTGTACGGTAGAATTCACTATTTTATACCCTCGAACACATAACTTAATAAGTTGCATTTAGTGGAAGTTCATTTCATGAAGAACTATGCATGGAAACAGAAATAGGCAATTATAATTCATTGTAGTAGGTAGAATTCACAGATGATTTTGGAATGGGGAAGGAATGCAGACAAAATGCAGTGTAGGTATAACTTAAATTCAACACTTTACAGCAGATATGGGTTTAAAATAATAATAATTCTGTGGATTCGTAAACATATTGGCCCAGATCAGTGTCTGTAGCAACCCCAGGTAGCTGGAAGATTCCTGGGGTGTCCAATGTGGGTATTCCAGGACATGATCTGGAGAGATCCCTTTGTTCCCCAAGCTACCGAGAACCCACATGACAATAGTGTCGCTAAAGAGACATGGAAAGCTCCTGAAATGATGGCAAACATAACACAGCAGGATGGAAAGAAATGTGTAGAAAGAACCAGAAAGCAGACCAAGAAGGCTGAGAAGCTCCAATGATTGTTTCTATCTTTGCTCATCCACTTCTTTCAAAATACTCGGCATCTTTTTCTTACTGCCCCCTATTCTGAAATATTCTTCAGAATCTTTATGCTGCTGCTGATTTTGGAAGCCCATGCCCCACTGAAAGACAGAAAGGGGTCCCCTTCTGGAGCCGAGGAACTGCTGAGGTCCATCTGCAAGTTTTTTTGATGGATCATTGGTTGCTCAAGTCAGAAACAGAGAGGCAGAGCAGGGCGGGTTCTTGGTAAGACAAAGTTGCCCATGTATGGTCTGTAAAAATATTTCCTGCCCTTTGTTTTCCAAATTAATGCCAATTCATTCTTTTTTCTTCTCATAAACAAGTGAAAGTTGCTTTCTTCCCCTTCCCTCCAGCTTGGTGTCTGACCATTACTGGTAGAGAATTTGCATTTTAAATTTGGTCTGTAAAATATGGTTTCTAATAACCATTTTCCTTTGCAAACCAAACTGTGTCCATGTGGCTGTGAACCACAGGCACGGTCACTTTACATCTCGAGACCTCAATATTATTACTGACTTGGCTTATTTACATAATGGGTTTTAAATCATTTAAACGTAGGTTTGTGTGATCAGTTTCCTGGTCACAAAGCACTGCTTATTTAGAGCAAAGCCATTCTGTTGGAAGCCTTTCTGAAAATTTTCCTAGTGGGCAGTTGAATATATAATTTTATTTTCTTCTAAAAACATGGTAGGTGTCTAGACAAAAGCATGCTCTGACACGTCTCTTCTATTTCTTGGTTTTAACGTGTGCAGAATGGTTCGCAGCTCAGCACCTATGTCCCCCTTCCACCCCTAGGACATATGTGTCAATTACTCTTAATTTAAAAAAAATCCTATAGTATCTCTTCTGAACATGTGACCTGGACATTGGTGATGATTCCTTGGAGGATGAAAAGATTTCTGATGGTGAGACCATCATTTGTTCTCCAGGCATGTGAACCCATCCTACATCATCCTCTGCAGAGCTTATAGACGTACTTTGCCAATGTATTGGTACCTTGCTGCCAATATCCCCTTGCACACTCAGGTCCCGTCTGTAGTCTTTTTTATTCAGCATGAAGATGTTATGCTGGGAGAAACTG